TATATATATACATATTCTTTATCATCATTTTAAATTTTCTTACATTTTTCGATCTGAACCACCTTCTCGGCTCATACATTCCACGAATTACCAATTATCAAGTAGTAACTGGTTTGTCCTAAGAGGCCTCCAGTAAGTGTCCCTGAGACAGGCTTGATTTCTACACGCTGAGACATGGCAAAGACATCAGCATACAACTCATCCAAACACATGACTTTGGAGACACGAATCTTAGCTCCCTTTCAGAAGAGTCCCCATACATTTAGCGTGTGATGCAGTTGTGCACATCCCCTGGGTCGCATCAGGCCCCTCTGGATGGACATCTCCTACATGTCCTTCTCAGGACCTTGGCTCTCAGCGCTTCAGCACACAGAGCCAACACTCAGCTACACTGAAGTCTGTCCTGGGAGAGGAAAATAGTGTTCCACGTTCCAGATTTTGTCATAGTAACACTCCGAGTTCAGTTTGCATATTGGACCAAGGAGTTACCTGTCCAGCTGTCTTCCTCCCATCTTATAGCAGTGCCGCCTCCCCTGGCCACTTCCAGTCCCCTATTTCATGACGTCCTGGTGGGCCTGCCAATCACACGCCAGCCTCTTTAACCAAAGCAACGAGTCAAGGAAGGGTAGCTATCCAAGCTGGGCGTGCCAGGGCCTGGAATTACTTTCAGGGAAGCTGAGCAGGGAGGCCCTTTCACCTGGTCTAGAGTCAGAGAACTGGAGGAATGAGGCTGGAGCTGCCTGCAGCCACGGTTCCTGTGACCACTCTCAGCAGGTGAAAATGCAGCCGAACAAGACCTACGGAGCCAAGAATCAGACAGATGCAGAGAGGGAAAGCCTGAGTGTCTGGAGTCACTCCTGCCTGAGGCTGGCTCCAGCGCCCTCGTCCCAGCGCTGTGCTCAACAGCCACAAGTATGCTAGTTTTCCACCACTTACCGCCCTCAGACAGTCGATTCTCTGGGCCAAATTCTGTTGTGAGGAATCTGCTTCCTGAAGGAGCTTGTGTGGAGAGAAAATAACAGCAGGCTGAGATGTAGGGAAGATGTAGACAGAGGACTAAGAAATTGCTGGCCAAACAAAAGGCAGGTGAACCAAGGAACAGCCTTCCGTGGAAGTAGACAGATGGGTGGTGGGGAAACAGACACTCCAGGGACTTTGTGTGTAAATTAGTGTGTGTGAATTTTTTTTTTTTTGAAAGGCAATTTTGCGATACGTCTTTAAGATTTGAAATCCTCCTGTTCTTTGTGCCAATAATTCTACTCAATGCTGCATTGTTTGTTGTGGTAAAAAGCTGGCAGTAGCCTCAAACTGTTGCATCATTAATAAGGGATTGGTTTAGTAAATTATGGAAACATGTCCAAGTTCTAGTGTTGGTGGGAAAAAAGTGTGTAAGACTAAGTAAAGGATTTGTTTATAGATGTGTGTTTTGAATGTGCAAAGGAAAAGGCTCAGGGGACCGTGTATTGGATATTTAGGTGATCTCCGAGGGGAGAGGACTGTCACCAGAGAAGGTTGACTTTCCACGTTTGTATGCGCCCAGAATATTTGGAGAGGTTAATTTGCTTCTGCTGTTTTAAGAAAGTGGCATAATGATGGTTCCCTTCTTTCACATTCTGAGTCCTCGGATCTCTGGTCTAGAGGGGCTCACTCATTCAATTACTTATTCACTCATCTATTTGATCAACAAAGAATTAAGTGAGTGCCAACTAATTAGGGACTCTTGGTGCTGGGCATGTAACTGCAAAACAGAATCCTTACCCTCGTGGGTTTTATACGATTGATTGTGAAAACACAACGGTGATGCTGATGAGTGTGGTGGAGAAGCATAGAGGAAGGGACAGGGGCTAGAATGCTGGGGTGGAGGCTGTAGGGTCCTGTGACATATAAAGTGGCCAGAGAAAGCTTCGTTGAGAAGGCAACACAAAGGAAGGAAGGAGGCTATGCAGCTCTAGAGGAGAAGGTCTTCCAGGCAGGCACAGGGGCAGCTTGTACATGAAGTATGAAGACAGGGGCATGGAAAATGAGACAGCACTAAAGCAGAAGTGTGCTTGACTGAGTTTGAGGCGAAAAAGGACTGTGTGGCTTGAAGGAACAATGAGAAACAAAGCCAGAGGTAAGGTAGTGGGCAGGACAGTGTCTGAGGGACTCGAGGCCATTGTACCACTCTTACAGGACAGGCCACTAGAGGGTTTGGATTGACTTGCAAATGATTACTCTGATGGCTCTGTTCAGACTGAAGTAGAGGGGTGCCAGCGTGAAAGTGGGGAGACCACCAGTTAGAAAGTAACTGCAATGATCAGGTGAGAAAATGACCTGGACCATGGTGATAGAAGGGGTTGGGTTCTGAAGGTACTTGGAGGGTACAGCTGACAGATATGTTGGACGGGATGGAAGGCAGGGCCCAGTATCAAGGCTGTCAGACCCTGGGAGATGACCCTTTCCTCAGGACTGAGGTTTACCCAAGGGGGATTCCACCAAGTCACCCCAAAGGGGCTTTGAGTTGAAGGACAGAACCAGAGAGGGTGGAGTGGAGGTTTGGGGTTTGCTGTTACGGGACAGACCCACGCTGCTGTAGGAGACTCCACCCCAAAGGGAGGTGCCAAGAAAGGTAGATCCCTAGTGCGCGGCCTCGACATGCTGGGTTTGGGAGGGAACAGGACAGACTGAATTTTCAGCCACCACAGCAAGAGAAGCCAGATTTAACCTGGTTAGAAAAACCAAGTGCTGTTTCATTTTCTGTACCCATGTCTTGTGGAGTAAATCGAGACCCATTATACACATTTTGTTTCACTTTTGCTTTTAGAGACACATGTATTTTTGTTTGTTCAAAGTATCTATTTTAACTTGCACGAACATTTCCACCTGTTTTTATTTTACTATTGAAATATTGCTGATTTATGTTGTGTTAGTTTCTGTTGCACAGTGTAGTGATTCAGTTATACATCTTTTTCATTGTAGGTTATTACAAGATATTGAATGTAGCTCCTTGTGCTACATAGGAGGACTTTGTTTATCTATTTTATGTATAGTAGTTTGTATCTGCTAATCCCAAACTCCTAATTTCTCTCTCCTCCATAAGCATTATTTTTGTAATCCGAACAAATATAAACGTATTTTAGAAAGAATGGTGAAATGGTCAAAGTTAATCAAATCAGAGAGTCATGGAGTTAGCTTATTGAGGCTAGAGGAAGAAGTGGGGTCTTCAGAAGGTAGTGAGGTGGTAGCCAGGTGGTGAGTGATTTAGAATGGAAAAGGGTGGGTGACAGTGTAGCAGTGAATATAAGCCTCCTTTGAGAAACTTGGCAAGGGAAGGAAAGAAACAATGAATGGTAAGAACATATGCCACGCAATTCTAAATAAAGTTTATTAAATAGTATGTACAGCAGCAAATGTAGTCATTCAACCTCTATTTGCCAAATCAATCCACTGCAATAAAGAAAAACAGATGAACAGAAAAATCTGTGCATAGTACATGCTCTTGGTGTGTAATCTAAATGGCAATACTTTAAATTAATTGGTTATATATAAGATCAGTTATTTCTCTTTCAGAATATAATCTTTCTTGTAGTAACCTATTCTAGCAATAGGACTTAATACTACTGCAGATAAATAGGACTGCAAAAAAAGAAAAAGAAATTAAAAACAAAAAACCACTATAACTGAGAACAGTTACCTTCTGTCTCAGAATGATTTAAAATTACACTTTACAATGGCTATTTTTGTGCTAAAAATCTGCAGGTAAGTTATTTGGAATTCCTTCATTTAAATAAAAATGCAAAAAACTTCATGACTTCCTTATTTTACCCCCCTTCAGTTCAAATTTTTAAAATTATTTTTCTATACAAAGTAGGTACATGGGCTATACAGAGTTAAATATACATATTTACAGTCCCACTTCTTAAGCATATGATATTTTTTTCCATGTACTGATCCCAGTAGAGACTGCAAAAGATGAGTAGTTTGCGGCTTGCCTTAACCCAGAAGCATGGCTAATCTATCAAAACGTGTTGCAGGGCATGCCGCCAGTTAGTTGCACTTGCGATTAATAAACCTGTATAAATATCTCAGCATAAAAATAGGTATTTTGTATTACTAAATGTCTGAAGACAAAGGAGCAATTGGAACCCTTTGTTCCTTGTTTTGTCAGGAAGCTGAAGTTTGATGCAAATTTTAACATGTGTATCAACAACGGGCAAATCGGGTGAGGCATACCTGGGAGGCTGGAGATATACAAAGTTGTGAGGCTGGCATCATATGCAAATGTGGCTTTACAAATTGGTTTATTTTCTAGCTGTATTTAAAGAGGTGTTCAAAATTACCTACTTTGTAAGCACCCCTCAAAAAACTTACAAGATCATGTTATTAATGATTTGCATCTAAGAAAGACCAGGAAACACATTAGCCAATATAAGAATTACGTTCCAAAATGGGTGAAATGCTGCTGTGCAAAATGCATGTGCATGTGCACTTGGACTGTATTCCCTGGGCGGAGAGGAGAGACAAACACAATGCCCTTAGATGGTGAGGTGGACCTTCCAAAGCAATGAGCCTTAGAGAATAGCGAGGAGTCACTTTGCCCCAGGAAGCTCATCCACCCCACCTGTACCCCCAGCCCCACCTCCACCATGAATTAGTTCCACAGCCTTTTCCCTTGGGATTAAGGCTCTGCTCTGTGCTAGTTAAAAACGAATGTCTCTGGAAGGTGGTAACACATTCCTCTTATCAGTCACTTACACTTTAGTGTGAAGGAATCCGTGGCCAGTTGCTTTCCTGAGAGCAGCATTTGAAAGAAGGCCAGGGAGAGAAAGGGAGGATACTGTGGCTGCCTGATGTGGAGGGGTGGGCAGCTAATGGCGTCCTAAGATGAAACTGGAGGCAGAGGCCCTGAAGACAAACTCTGCCTCCTTATAATTTATAAAGACTCCAGAATTTGGGACATTGCTCCTGGGACAATTCTGAGCTCTATGCAGAGTTGCCGAGGTCTCTGTATACATCCTACTGAGCTGGAATTGCTACTGTCTGTGACCTTGGATGTGTATTTGTGGGAAGGATGAGAGGCTGAAGACCGTGAAGATAGTGCCAAATAGTTCCAGCCATAAACTACCCACGGACAAAACTTCCTCCAGTACCCGAGTTGTTCAAAAAGTGAGTGAATGGAGACAGAAATAAGACAATGCTTTCTAAGATCCCTTCAGGGAAAATTCAACTCTTCCTCTCACACCCTTCTTAGCACATATCACAGTCTCTCTTGATTATTTTTGTGTGTCCATCTCCCCAGTCACCACTGAGTTCCTGGGAGGCAGGGGATGGCTCATTTCTATCTTTGTCTCCAAGGCATCCAACAGAGAGGCTGATAAACATCCTTGAATTGGATACAGTTGTGACTGAACACCGTGGGCATCACAGCGGCCTCCCTGCTCGGCTCTGGCCCCGCGAAGGACAGACCTCTGGGAGACGCAGACTTGCTGCCTCACACTTAGGGTCACTGCGCCTGCACCTTCCACTCTGCAGAGGAGCCTCCCAGGGTGCATCAGGAGTCACAGCCCTGGGTGGGTCACCACACTTGGAGTGGCCCTTGGACTCCTACAGGGAGTGAAAATGGAGACACGGTGAACCTTATCCACCGGGAGCACCGGCGCCCAGTGTACATCGGGGTCCATGTTCAATGACTCACTGAACACCAGCCTTGGTTCTCTGTGAGAACATGTCTATCAACCCTAAGCTGTCCTGGCCAAAAACAACCCAGAAAGGGAAGGGTAGCAATGGCATTCTGGTAAATGAACCTATAAAAGCCAGTGATACAGAAAAGGAGCCACTGCAACGGCCCTCAAGAGCTACAGGGCTTGTTTTAATCACCCGGAAATACAAATTTACCCATCTGCCTGGCCACCCTGCTCCATGGGCAAGCCTTGTGTGCTTTTTTTGTCTGAAAAGCAGGGGTATCCATGGCAAGGCTGTATGCAGGCAAAAAGCATGGTGCCAACTTTCACCCCATTTCCCCATGTCCCCCCAGTGAGGGACATGGTCTGGGGTAGTGGGGGGCTGCCTAGGGAGTGCCCCTCCAGCCCTGTCTGATCTCTAGCCGTGCTGGGGGATCGGTGGACTGTGGGGTGATGGGGGAGTCTGTGTGGAGCCTTGGAGAATGGCTGGGGGCCTGCCAGGTGTTCCGAGGGTCCCGCAGGCTAAACAGCCCTTTTGAGCCAAAGCTGGGCAAGCCTGGGTCAGACCTTGCTGCTCCTGGACTGAGCTGCAGGTCAGATACCTAAGCCGGGGAGGGCAGGGCAGGACTGGAGTGGCTCCCAGCAGCAGCTAAGTAAATACAGATTTGCGTCATTCCTTTTTTGCATGGTTCAGCCCTGTCTGATAGGCAGTAAGCTCAGACAGGCTCAGGGTTTAAACACCACACTTCTCTGTCCTTTCTTTTGCTTCTTACTTTATCCACTGCATTAGTTTTCCTACTGATTTGACATTTAAATAAAGAGACCGGTTCATGAATTATGCTTCATCCATCAATAAAAATCATCTCTGTGGTTTTCAGTCTTCTTATAGATACAAAGGCTTTACGTAGTTGCCTGGGAAAGTACCAAACTGCCTTGTCCTTCTTGAAGTACCTACAAAACAAAACCCAAAACACACACATCTAATGAGAAAACTCACTCACATGAGTTCAGAGAGAGCCCTTGACAACAATTCTGCAGCTTGTAGAAAAGAGCATATGGTTTCCAAATCTTTCCCTATCTTCTCGTGGCTGCAGAAGAATGCTGGGTGGTAAGCAAGGCGGGCACTTCTAATACTCCTGTTTATTTCAGATGAGAAAACTTAAGCTCAGAGAGCTTAATAAGCATCAGAGGCAGACTTTGATTTTTTGTTGTTGCTGGTGGTGGACTGAACCCAGGACCTCACGAGCGCTAAGTGCACGCACCACCCCAAGCTCTGCCCCCACCACTTGCCGAGGTGGCTCTGCCAGGTCTTCTGACTCCCAGCCTGCTGCTCTTTCCAGTACTTCTCCTTTATGGAAGAACGACCACATTTATCCAAGGGATTTAGAATTTCTAAAAGTCCACTGGATATGACTGCACATCAAAAGGAAATTTCTCTCCTAAGCCTGGACCTAAGCCCCAGATTGCTTCCTGTCTTTACCACAAAGTTCGCTGGGGTTCCCACGGAGCCAGCTGGGAACAAAGCCCTTTTCTGCGCTGCTCCACATCCAGAATTACTGGATCCCTAATCTAGTTCCTTCCCTTGGGATTCTCTCTCTAAAGCTGGGGGGTGGGTGGGGGTGGTGGCAGATACATGTTGTGTCATCGTTACCCTCATTAGCAGACATCACAGTTTGATCACTGCATCCTTTTCCCAGTTGGCTTCTATAGGGCCTCAGAAGGCTGCTGAGCACAACGTTGGAAGTGGCAACTACCAGGGGGCTGGAGTTGTTGCCCAAAGTGAAACTTCAAAGCTGAAAGAACGTGTCAAAGCTAAAGGACATCTAAAACAGCCAGCTGAAGCCCGAGGCAGGGGGGCTGGGGGACCGTCAAGGAGGCTGCAGAGAATCGAGATGGCGAGGCCCAGAGACGCCCTCCTACGTCTCCTTACAGGTGAGAAAAATGAGCTCTGCTGGTTACTTTTATTCATCGTCTGAATATGAGGCCACTTTTCCAACTGTTTGAAGAATTAAGGAATCTAAAATACTCCCTTTAGCTAGCGGCCGGGAAAGTACCTCACCCCATCCCAAGTTATCATAAAAAATGTAAATGTTCCTAGAAGAATTTAACTGCTGATCCCTACTAGCCTGCACTCTGATATGGCAGCCACGTGCGGCTCCTGAGCCCTTGAAACATGGCTGGTCTGGACCGAGCTTTGCTGTGACTATGAAACACATGTCGGCTTTTGAAGATCTATGCACAAAAAGGAGAATGTAAAATGCCTCCCTCGCAATTTTTTTATACTGATGGCATGTTCAAATGATAATATTTTGAATGCACTGGGCTTAAAATATTATAATTAATTTCACTGGTTTCTTTCTTTATACTTTTTTCACTCTCGCTTTCAGAAAATTTTAAATTTCATATGTGGCTCGCATGACGTTTTTACTGGACTTTGCACTGCGCTTCAGTGTTGCTGATTTGTCAGATCTGGTTTCCTTCTGAACAGGATGACTCAAGGTAGTGGGGACCACAGGCTGTGGGGGGCTCTGGGAGGAGGGGGTGGCTTTCTCAGAGGCTGGCGAGGCCAAGCCCAACCTTTCTGGCTTCCCATTTATGCTGGCCCTGACATGACTTCACTTTAGCAAACTTCTAGAGAGATCGGGAAAGAGTTGGTCTTTGGAAAGAAGTTAAAGCCAGTTGTTGAAGGGGAGAACTGAGACAGAGTGTGGGTGGTTCCCAACATCATCTCTGTGCCTGAGTGGAAAGAACACAGGCTCAGGGAGCGATGGGCCTGAGTTCAAATACAGGGCCTACTGTTTGCTCCCAGGGTGGTGACTTTGGGGCTAGTTACTTAGCCACTTTGGGTCTCAGTTTTTGAATCTGTGAAAAAAAGACAATTTTTGCCTTCCAGGCTGTTTGTTGAGAGAATTTCAGTAAGAAAGTATATCAAGCAAGTATCTGTTCTGTTACAGAATCTCAAATTCTGATCTTTGTCTCCTCCTGATGGTGAATCCTTTCTTAAGCAGGTTGCTTTGAGTAAAGTTATTCAAAGCCTGGAGTCAATAAGGTTTTTGGAATGTCTGCACCTAAGCTTGAGTTTCATGGCAGAAACCTAGGCTCAAATGCTGTGTTGTTCCATTCTGGTTTTAAAAAATAAAATGTCCAAATGTAGGACAGACAGATGCACAACAGAAATGCCAACAGAGCTCCGTGAGTGAAGCTGGCACTTCTGTTGCGCTTCCATGCAGCAGAGGTTGGCATATGTGGTTTTCAGGTTCAGTGTTAGTACCGTCGTCACTGCCTTGAGAGCAAACATGGTGGCCCCGCGTTCCTGATGGTGTTACAGAAAGCGAGAAGGCTCTTCCTTCTGTGCAGAGAATACTGCTTTTCTCATGACTCATCACTGCTAGGTATTCCTTCAACACACAAGTAGTAAGACAAGCGCGATGAGATCACGTACCGACAAACCACCCATCGTCACACTTCTCCATGACGTCAACAATATCTCCATCTCGGAGCTCCAATTCGTCATCGTTCTGTGGAATATAGCTATACAGTGCTTGGTAGCTAAGTCTATAGAAGAGAAAAAGAAGTCTTAAGTGACTTCAATCACTGATGGGATTCAACAGTGAGTTTTTAAAACCCATTCAGTTCAGTCAACATTTAGGTAGGGCTTCCTATTCACCAGTGGGAATAAAAGTGTTTTATTGGCTATGTCTCTAATAACTTAGCATTTGGGGAGATCCATTCAACATGTGATAAGTAAATTAAAATTCACAGGGATGGGGAACTTCGGAGAAGCAAGTCGTGATCAATCCTCTTAGTTTCATTTGGTTAGCGCAACCAAGCTTTTTTGCCTAAATACTCCCCTTTAAAGTTAATTCTTTTTCTTAACATGGATAGGACAATCCATGTAGATCATCAAGGATAATCAGAAGTGACTTGGGTCCAGAGACAGACACTATATTCTGGTTACATACAATGGGGAGGGTATGGCAATTGTCATGTATTTATTTATACAATTTTTAAAAGTACATCCCAATTGCCTCACTGTTCAGCAAAGCTACTGTGAGTTTCTTTACGTGCCAAGACACATTTCATTAACTGCTTTTAAATGTGGATGTCATTTTTCTGGAACTCGTGAAAGCATTTCTATGCCAGTGATGTTGGGGTTAAGATTTTTATTTCTTGCTAGTTGGCCTCGGGCAGTTTCGTCTGTCTGCTCTGACACGAGGCTCTGGAGAAAGCCGGACTACTTGTGGTGAAATCTGATACTTGCTCTGGCAACAAATGAAAGATTTTTTCATTTATTCCTTTGACAAACACTTAAGAAGCATCTACTGTGCACCAGTTCACAATTCTGTTTACCCGCTATTTTGAAATGCAACAGGAGCAGGCAAAACTTTGCAAATGAGCCGGTCATCTACCGTTGTCAGTAGATGTCAGTGAATCCCAGTGTGTGGGCAAGAGAGAGTAGAAACAAGAGGCTGATTCTCTGCTAGAACAAAGGGGCAATTTAATTTTACGTATTTATCCAAATGTAGTGAAACTTCGGTAGATGGATCTGTCTGCCAGGAGGAAGGTATCTGCTGAGGAATTAAGAGATGTAGATGGGTTTCCAGTTGGTAAATGAATACATTTCGATGCTTCTGTATCAGCCTGCTGTCTCCCACCCAACTTAGACTTTCAGGATGCCCTCATCCCCTTCATTCCCACTGCGCGGCTTTGCTGGCCTCAGCTCTGGGACATTACTGCTGCTATCTGTCCCCTCTTTTCACCCAGACAGCAGAGACTGACTGGCCCATAACCTTGCTGCTGGGTCCCCTGAGCTTCTGGATGGTCATCATGCTATTTAGGACACAGTTCCACAGATTCCTCCCCCTGCCTCCTCTGCCAATTCTGGTGCCCGATTCTGAGCAGAGGGCTCTTCGCTCTGCCCTTGTTTCCTGAGATGAAGCTTGTCGTGGGCAGCACTTTGTCCTCCCCTCCAGGTTCAGGTCCCTACACCCCCCCCTCCTGCCCCCATTTCCATGTCCCTTCTCCTGGCCATGCTGAACTCCCCTTCCTGGGCTATTTCCTTAATTTACATCTTCTCCCTTACATCTTTCGATTTGGCCAACTCCTCCTTAAGTACAAATGTGCTTATGTCATGGCATCCTAAACACCTCCCCTGACTCTGCACAGCCCCCGCTCCTTCCATTCACTGTCACACTGTCAGCCTTTCTAACAGAGCACATGCCTTTGCCGCTCCAGCACTGCCATCACAGAGGTCACCAACAGTGCCTCCAGCTGCCACCTGGAGGGCACTTCTCCTTTCCTATCCTCCCTGACCTCAGAAGCAGGGGCACTGGGGGGAGGGTATAGCTCAAAGTGGTAGAGCACATCCTTAGCATGCACGAGGTCCTGGGTTCAATTCCCAGTACCTTCTCTAAAAAGTAAATAGGTAAATAAACCTAAGTACCTCCCTCCCCCACACAAAAAAATGTAACTTAAAAAAAAAAAAAAAAGAAGCAGGGGCACTGCTGACCACACACTGCTTGCTCAGTTGCACACAAGTGCAACTAGACCCTCCTGGACCCTCGCCTGTGTCTCCTGCTGCTCCTTCTCAGTCTCCTTTGCTGGCCTTAAAAGGCACCCTGGTGCCTTAGAAGTTGGTTCCCCAAGGATCTACCTTCAGTTCTCTTCTCTCTTTATTTATTACCTTTAGCTCCTTGGAGAGCCTTACATAATTCCAGGCCCTGAGCTCAGGCTCTCATCACTTCTTTGCTGGATTCCTATCTCCTGACCACTACCTTTGTCCTTTGTCTCTGGAATCCACCCTCCACTCTGTTGCCTGACTTATCTCCCTAAAACAGAACACAATCAATATGTTCCTCATTTTATCAACTGTCAGTAGCTCCTGAATGAATGCAGACTAAAATCCAAATTTATTTTGTTTGCATTCTGGATTCTACAGTCTGGCCCCCAACCTACTCCTTGAGCTTTGTTCCATCTTCTCCGTGAACTCTGTACTGTGGCCACAGGGGTCTTCAAAGTTCTCCAAACACACCACCTACCCCAGGCCTTTGCACGTTTGGTTTCCTCAGCTGGGAAGAGCTTTTACCTTCCTGTTCTAGCTCTCAAGTCCAATTTGTCTTTCAATGCTCACTCCAGAGTCCCCTTCCTCTGTGAATGGAGTTTACTCTTATGTGCTTAGAACACAGGAGACATCCAATACTTTTATTTAATGAATGGATCAACCCTATTCATTCATCTCTAGTCAGAATTAACCACTCCTTCCTCTATATTCTCACACTAGAAATGAAACCAGTCAGCCCAGCTCCCGTCTGCCCTGTATGACAGTTTTCTTTACCTCTCTCCCCCAAGTAATCCGTGACCAACTTTATTTACCTGCCGCGTGTTTTCACGTGGGCTGATGGGACATGGGCTTAACTAGAAACCCTCAGAGAAGCTGAGAAGGATTGGTTCATCCCCCACATGGCGGCCCTGACAGTGAGTCAATGACCCACTTTCTAAGGCCAACAGTCTACTGAGAACACGAGAACCGAGCTTTGCCAAGTATACTTACAAATCCTGGGAGGTTTGACTCCTGTCTGGGGTGACTCTTCGCTGCTGGGCTTGAGGTTGCTGAGAAATGATTAGAGATGATTTATTGTCAGAAGGGGATACCTTGTGATGAAAGTCAAGGGGATGAGAAACAGTGCTGCAGTAATGGACAGATTTTTCGGCAATGTTTATGATCTCATTGCAAACTGCTTCCTGTGAGGTGGCCCCGCGATTTCCAGAAACCCCCATAAAACAGTCAACATGGGGAACCAAAAAAAAAAAAAAAAGAAGAAAGAGAGGAAGAGATGTAACATTCCAGACGATGTACATAAGTCCAAGGAAACAACAGAGTTGAAGATCCAGGTTAAAAAATAGATATTCCAGTAGTGGAGTACAGGAGGGATCCAGGCGTAAGCATGGAAAAAACAGGTAAAATACAGAAGAATTTGGGATTTAGTATGAATATTAAAGAAAAAAAAGGCAGCAGCATAAAAGCCTGTAATTAGTGAGTAACTGTTACAAATGGAATAACTTCAGGATAGAAATGCAAGTATGTATCCCCAAATCATGCACTAATACATTAATTTAATCCCACATGTAGGCAGAGTAAATAACAATATTGTCTCGAAATGCCTCTGCTTTTTTTTTTTTGAGAGGGTGGCTTATACTCTCAACCACAACAGCCATACAGGTCTTGTAAGTAATAGCTGTGCGTTAACCAGGCATCACTCTGGCCTAGACTCTAGAAGTCAGGAAGGGTTCTCTTTAGAAAAGCTACAGTCTTATTCAACAGGCATCTTACCACATAGCTCTTTTCAGAGTCTGTGAGATCAGGTCCTGCTCTCAATGAATGATGAGAAGGCTGTGATCACCAAGCAAATCATAAGGGAGACATTTTAGCAGATGTCACATTGGAAAGGAGTCAAAATAAAAGTGTGAGCAAATACACATACCACACCATCACACTTGATGACACCGGATACTCGCGGCCTACGGCCACGAAGTTTCCACGACAACACGGTGGGTGCGGAGGAGAAAATGCAATGTACGGAGTTAGAAGCAGGCATCCAGGCAATGAAATGGGCAGTTGGGAGCATGGCTGCAGTGCGGTGAGAGTGAACAACACAGGGACCCCAGACTGGCCGGAAGGAGACACAGAAGGGCTGCCTTGAGGAACAGTTATGTCCCGTTATGTCCCTCCATGACCACACACTCTGGGCCCCTGGCTCCCAGCTGGCAAGCGTCTATGGAAGAGCTGCTGTACCAAGAGCCAGTTTCAGAAACTGTGCCAACTGGGAGCCTCCTCTGGCAAGGCAGATTTATCAACCTGTGCCATTTTCCGGTACTGATAAAAACCAGAAAAGAGAGAACGCTTTTGAAAAACTCTTGGTAATTATACAAGACTAATTCCCCAGGAAAAATCTGCCCACGATCCACTCCAGCTAAGTATGAGGAGTTCGGGTATCTCACAGGGCAGAGTTTGCTTCCAGAAATAGAATGGTGTGTCCTGACACAGCTGGAGGAATGACACCATCACTCCTCACTCACCAGCTCAGGTACCACATGCTGATATGGAGGCAAGGTGCAGTCATGGCCAAGCAGACCTGTCTTTTAAGTAAGGATCCTACAGTAGAGGACAGGCCTTCACTAGAAAAGTGTTTGGAATTATTTACCCCAGAGAGGATTCAATTCCAAGCTGTAATAATTCTCCCTAAATAAATATTTGAAAGGCCATACTTGGAGAAACCCTCCAGGTAATGTGCAATAACAGCAAGACTGAGTCACAGTAACTCCAGGGCCTTCCAGAATGGCACTCAGATCTTTTGTATATAACCCACTTGTTTCACAGAGAGGCCCAGAGAGGGTGAGGGCCTCCCCTGAGGTCACACAGCAAGTTAATGACAGACTAGTCTTGTGGATTTACCTACTGTCCCACTGGACCTTCTCTTTCATCCTTGGACCATTTCCCATGTTACTAAGTGTGCTTACTGACATTTTCAGTGAGTCCCACAGGAACCCTGGAGATAGGCAGGACAGGGCTTATCATCCCGTTTTCTTTTAAAATCCAGGAAGCCGATGCTCAGAGAGGTTTAGTACATTCCCCAATGTCACACAGCTAGCGAGAGGTAAAGCTGCCCCACCACACCAGCCCGTCCTGCTCATCTCTGCTGTAAATGTCTCATCTGTTAGCAGGCCCTGCAGGTTCCATCACTTCTACACTCTCATCCTCTGGAAAACTTCAAGTTCTCCAAACCCCCTCTTGCAATCCCTTAAACCAGCCCCCCCTAGACTATGGCAGGGGTAAAAGAAGAGACAGAACGGCAAGGGTTTTGCTCCCTAGGAAATGTCTCAGGACCTGTGGGCTTCTGCCAGGTGACTGGGAGTGACCTTGTGTGGCCCCACTCACCACCCATCCAGCCCCTGGATCAAGGCTTCTGCAAAGCAAAGGAACATAATGACTCTTCCAAGCACCTATTATTGGGCTTTGAAGTGACAGCCCAGAGTGGGTGACACCTACAGGGATAGTTTGACTTGATAGAAGGGAAAACATTCTCAGAGTGAGAGCTGTCCAACAGAATGGGCTGCCTGGAGAGGACGTGACTTGTCTGTCCCAGTGGCCGTTCATGCTGAGGCTGTTAACTACTGCTAGACGGGATACTGCAGGGCACTGCTTCTCACTTTAGTGTCTGTCAGTATCACTTGGGATCCTGTTAAAATGCAGATTCTGATTTGACGCATCTGGGGTGCAGCCTGGGACTGCTCATTTCTATTTGGTGGTGCCCACACTGCTGCTCAGCGAGTGAGGCTGCAGAGCACCTCAATTATCCAGCACTGAGATTCTGTGGCTACAGCGTGTCAGTCTGGGTTGCACCCCATGAAAATAAAAGTTCTCGTAAAGACCAAAAATATTTCCAAACTCCAGCTGGTGGCCTACCGACCTCAGGTCAAGTATAGTACAAACAGAGGATGTGGACAATCTTCTGACATTATCTCCACAGCTTACAGAAGCCCCCAAGCATCTTTCAGTCAACTTTAATCCCAAAGGAGTGACTGGAATCGGTCACCTAGCAAATACTTGGCACTTAAAAGAGATTTGGTGAATCAGACACAGTATGGAGGAACTGATACTGTACTGTCCCTTTCTTTTGTAATGTACCTTTTTTTTAAGCTGCTTTCAAAGCTCACATAGGACCATTACCTCACCTGACTTGTATACTCACCCTTTGACTTGCGTGAGGGCAGAAAAAAATTTTTTTAAGACTCAGGGAAGTCTGAAGATTTGCCCAAGGTGGCGAAGCCACTGAGTACTGACCCTCTCAAGGTCTCATTGCCACACCACCTCCCTCCTGTCTTGTGATGGGACAGCTGGGGCAGGGATAATAGGAACACCGAGCTTCTGAAAACAGGCACTGTAACTTCTCTTAAACACTTTTTCCTCATGTAAAAGGTTCAGAGCGCAGTAATGGATATCACCCGATCGTTAACTCAAGGATCCACAGGACTGAAAAGGGATCCTGACCCAGCTAGTACTTCCTTGCTATCAGGTGGTATCCAGACCAGAGGATAATCATCATCACAGCCTGCACATCTGGACAAACTTCACCTCTGTACAAACTTAACTCATCCCTGAGAAGTGACCTGGTTCCTTACTTAACATCTGTGGAATAAATGAAGGAAGAAGACAATATAAATATTTATCCTGCTAGTGAAGACTCAATTTCTCCCTATTTGAAGTGCATTCTTTATACTTCAGTTCTATGTTTGATTTAAATCTAAACAGGATTTTTTTTGGGGGGGTTGGGGTGGGTACGGCACCCCTCGGTGGAGACAGAAACCACTGACACCCTTCACAGGGACTCGCCTTTCACTTCAAAGGCCGTTACCTTCCGATTTTCTTCCCTCTAGGTGTATGTTTTTTCTTCCCTGATCCATTTTCCAACCATGTACAGCTTCACGTATCTCTTTCTCTGAACCTATGCTCTCCGATATGGTAGCCGGTGGCCACATGTATCCACTCAACACTTGAGATGGGGCCAGTGTGAAATATGCTGTAAGTGTCGTCACCCTTTTTACAAAGTTATTTCAAAAACTTAGTACAAGATAAAGAATGTAAACTATCTCAACAATTATTACACTGATTATATGTTAAAATGATACAATTTTAGGTATGTTAAATCGAATAATTATTAAAATTAATTTCACCTGTTCTATTTTACTACCAGAAAATTTAAAATTATATATGTGACTCACATAGTCCTGCTGGCAGTGCTGCTCTAAACCCTCCTTGGGTCTCCGTGTACATCCTTCTTAAAGCCTAAAAGCACACAAAGTTCTAACCTGGACCTCAGATAGGGTTAGGGACAAAGGGACTATTATCTCATGCCAAGTACATTTCAGACTCTTGAAAATACATTCCAGTTTTTCACGTTTAGAAGAAGAGCCACGTGCCCAACACACACACACCCCTCACGCTGCACTGCACTGCCCTCCTCCATCAACACTAAGCAGGAGATAGTTGCTGATCCAGAAGCCGCTTTTCTCTTGTATTGCACACATACACACACGCGGGCCCTCTTGGCCCGGAGCTCTCTTACAGTCTCCCGAGGGAGCCACCATGCAGGTGTCCTTGCCCTGTTGCCTTTCTACCTCCAGTTCACAGAAGTCCCTCAGAAACCTGACCCGAGCCTCCCTGGGGCTGTTAATCCCTCCAGATCCCCAAAACACCTGGTGCTACCATGAGTTAGTAAGCATCCTCTTCCAGCTCTGGGTGTGTGCCAAAGCCTTGAAGCCCAAAATAAACTGCCCACAGGCCAGAGGCCAGCAGGAAGTCCTGGAGATGTGGACAGGACAGGAAGTCCACCTCCGTGTGACGCCAAGCCCCTCTAGAAGCGTCACGAGTCTGTATTCTCCCAACCTGTCCGTGCCAGAGACGGCATCTCACAGCCCGTGTCTTCTCAGACTCCACCTCTCTGGGGACACTGGACTTGGAGGGAGGACACTGGGTTCCAGGTCAGGCTCTCACAGTCATTTACTGTCTTTTGAGAAAAATGCTTAACTTCTTTGGATTTCAAGTTCTTAGTCAAATCAGAGGCTTGGACATGATTTCCACAAACATCATTTTTGGCTCAAAAGTTCTAACGTAGTGATTAGTCTGCATCCTATGACTTGAGAACTAGGACTGGACAGGGCTGCCCTGGCTTGAGAGAGGCAGCACTCCACTCACTGCCCACTGGAGATGGGGTGGCAGATGGCTTTTGATTGTAGCGCTGAGAGTGGCTGGACAGCTCACGTCTGGCAATGTGGCAGGAGAGGGGTTCACTCAATGGAAGAGGAATTGCAGCTCCTGGAAGACCACAGGCAAACCCTGTCGGAGGAGTTGGAAGAACTGGATGGTTCAGGCTCCGAGGTGTCAGCTCTAAGAAACGCCACACAGGACCCGCAAAATCGTCAGACTCCACTGAGTTCTTAAGAAAAAGATCCCGGGCTTAGATATAAAACTAACTACAACCAATTAGTTCAAATGCTCACCACCTAGACTTAACCTCCTTGCAGATCAGTCCACAGACAACACATCGGCTTCTGTTGCAATTAGAATCTGATGACAACACTAAATCTAAATGCTCAGCCTTCTCCTAGTCTGTGCTGAGGTCTGTTTCTGAAAACAATCAGACGGATAATAGCGAATGTGCAGTCAAGTATGAAGAAATGAAAAGCTTTCCAAGAGGACGCATTTGTACTCAAGGTGAGAACTGGGAGCAGCACTAATTGACAGAGTACAAGTTTTCAGTGTTCTAAGCTCTGGATTTGTGTAACCAAAGTGAAAGGATTCTTCCATCTTCTACTTTCTTCCCTCTCCCAACC